TCTTGGATCTCACTAGGTTTTTTGTTGTTGTTGTTGTTGTTTTATTGCATTAGCCATCCTGCTTATTACAGACCCCAATCACCTTGCATTTGAACTTAAACTACCAAACAATCACCTAGTTCACATTCTTCAGTGGCTGCTATTGTCTCTAATGTGAAATACCAACTCTTTTCTTTGATTTTTGATGCCCTTCACAATCTGTCTCCAACCTATCTTTTCTGGCTATTTCTACATTATATGATCTCTGGCACAGTATACGGTACCCAAATTGATCTACTTCCTCTTTCCCCTCAAGGGTGGAAAACCTGTGGGGAACCACATGTGGCCTTCTAAGTCCTTGGGTGTTGGCCTTTCACCTAAGTCCAAGTTTTATAGAACAAATCATTTAACTAAACGGAATTTGTTCTGTGAAGTTTGGATTCAGTCAAAGGGCTGCACTTGAGGACCTAGACGACCACATGTGGCCTCGAGGCCACAGGTTTCCCACCCTGCTAGGTGATTTTATGCCTTTTTTCTTTTCCATGCCTGTATTACTCTCCCTCCTTTCCTCTGACTTTTACAACTCCTAACTCCCTTTACAGCTAAACTAAAAGGCCACCTCTTTCAAGAGACCTTTCCTTATACTCTCAGTTCTGAAGTACCTGCCCCATTCATTGGATTTTTATTTTGCATATATTTAATATATATTTACATATATTCTGTATTTACTTCTCTCTGAACATATTCACAGTAGAGTATGATTTCTTTGGAGTCAGTTGTCTTACTTTTGTATTGGTATCCCTAGCACATAATTATCTTTTAATGAATGTCTGTTAGTTGATTCTCTGCCTCTAATATGCCCCTTCATGTTTATATGTACTTTTTACATATTGTTTATCTGACATATATTTTATTTGGCTACCTGATTAATATTTATAAAATATTCTCAGTATATGATCACCCTCCTTACAATATAAAGTGGCTTACTAGTATTAGTGATGAAATGAAAATTTCTCAGTCTAGCTTACAGCTTCCAATAACTGTCCCCAACACATCTGCCCAATTTCAATTCTCACTGCCATTTTTAACTTAAAGCCAAACTGGTAAACCAGAATTGATTGCCAGTACCCTCTTCCCTCTTTTTTTTTCAGACCTTTCATTCTCTTCTTTCTACCTTTGTGCCCGCTGCCATTACACCCAGGCTTAGCTGCCTGAAGCACTCTGTATTCTTGATTCCATGAGAACTGATCCACCACAGCCAGACTCTTCGAAGCTTCTAAATGATCCCTTCCTCCTACCTTTTCCTTCATCAAAAGACACATTCCCCTCCACCCCAAAAAAAGGAAAAAGTAATGTGATAAACTATAGACTAAGGGATTAGAGACAAGTAAGAGCATAATATATTTCCCTCTTTCAGGGCTATTTGAATTTTAAAAAGAGAAACTGGGAGACAGCATTGTTTTATTTCTTTAAAGGATACTTAATGATATAATATCAGGTATGCGTAGTAAAAAGAAGCTTTCTTCAGCCTTTCAGAAGAAATCAAAGTATGTCATGTAGATTTTGAATTCTTCTGAAAGGCTGAGCAAAATTTCTCCTTAATTCCTTACACACATACATGCACACACACACACCCTATAGATATATTGTATTATATAAATGTATGTGCATATATATTCATACAAATATTTACATATAGATATATAATTAAATAATGTTATTTTATTGTATATATTGTGAAAAATGATTGTCTTGGAGACTCAGAGCTCCATACTCCCTCAGTCCTTTTCTTCAAAGTCCTTCAGAAGGACATTACTGATAATGAGATTGCATTGTAAGCTGCCCAGGCTTGGGTGGAGAGATTCTTCTGCCTAGATAGCCCAAGGTTGGAGGTTGTCTGGTACGATTGGGGGGTGATCTGATAAAAGAGGTATTCCCTCTATTGGGAAGTGGGGTGATATCAGTCTGTGTTGAAAAGGTATATAAACTGCACACCCCAACTCCCAAATCAAGCCAATTCTGGACTGTAACTCCCATGCAATGCACGTCAAGCCAGCTTGAAAGAGAAACATGGACATGTAACCTAAATCATTTGTCTCTTTCATAGAACAAACTCTATAAGAGGTTGACATTTAAAAATAACAAAAGTGATTACTAATCAAATATATTAAATTAGATAATCATGATGCTTTTTAGTAGGTGCTAAATGTTGAGTTTTGATAGTGAAGTGTTACAGTAGACAGAGTATCTGGCCTAGAGTCAGGAAGACTCATTCTCCAGAGTTCAAATCTGGCATCAGACACTTACTAGATAAGTGATCCTGGGCAAGTCATTAACCCTATTTACCTCAGTTTCCTCATCCACAAAACGACCTGGAGAAGGAAATGGCAAACTACTATAATATCTTTCCTAAGAAAACCCCAAATAGGGTCATGAAGAGTCAGACATGATTGAAAAATAACTGAAAAACACCAAAATGTTGAAGTTAGATGACATTATACAGTCAAAGATTGTACATAGACTAGCTACTCTTACTCCCTTATTTTAAAATGAGGTTAAATTACTTGCACAAGGTTAAAACAAGTAGTAAGTGGTAAAGCCAGGCTGATGAATTCAAATTATCTTATTCTAAATCCATGCCTCTTTCTACTGTACTGATCTGCCTCCACCTTAGATTTGTCTTAAGTCACACACATAATTAGTCTTAGAGTACCACGTTTATTCTACCTTGCACTGTTGCTCTTGACCCAAACATTTTTCTCCATCATCTCCATCAATCCACATTTCCATATTTCCTTCAAAGGCAAAATTCTCTAACTTTCCCTAGAGAAGTTTCCCATGGATAATTCTTTTGCATATTGCCCTGTCCTTCACATTCTCTCAGCATCCAAGAACATAGTCTCTATCATACTTTCTTATACTCGCTTACATCTTGCCTTGAAAATGTTCTGTAATGTTTGTATATATTTGTATATGTTCATTGCTTATTTTCCTTCCTAGAATATATGTTTCTTCTGGGAAGAAAGTATGTGAATTTATTGCAATCCAACTAACACCTACTATGTACAAGCACTGGGTTGAGACTCCAAATTATGAACAGATTTTGGGTGTAATATTAGCTGAGAAAAGGAAGGTCTGAATAAATGAAAAATACATGAAATATGGAAAACAAGATTATCTTATTTGATCTAGTTCACTTTCAAATTGCTTTAAGATTAATGTCACTTTCAAGAATATATTTACAACTATTGGTCTCATTCAACAAAAAACAGAATGTTAAAAAGCAGAACTGATAGACATTTTTTCATTGTATTTGAATAACTCATAAACTGAAAATTATTAAAGTAGTAGAAAAAATCAGAGCTAAGTATACTTTAACATAGACTAGTAAGCCTTAAAATATATCTGTTTTTAATCTGTGATTTAACCTGCCAAGGAACCATACTATTTGTGTACATTGGAAATGTTACATTCCCTGGCTGCTTCTAGCAATTTTTTTGGCTCAGAGTTAAAAGATACTTGTGCTTTGAGTTGATGAAACGATATGCTCTTTGGCCACTGAGCAGCAAGTATTGGTGGTACATTAAAACTATAAAAGAATTGACTTCGCCCTTGGATCTCTCTTCCTTCTACTCTCCTCTGTGGCAAATAACTCTCTTTCACTGAACTTTTATGAGGGGGTGGTAAAGGAATGGTAGCTTTTCTGACACCCAAGAGAGTAGGGTGACTGTAACTGCCTAGCAGTATGAACAAAGGACTCAAGAAGGTAAGCTTGACCCTGGTTCTTGTAATACCTTTTCCATTTTGTGTTTCTTTTCCTGAGTGTCAAAACATCCATCCCAAGATCAGTAAGTCTAGGGGTGGAAGTGACAGGAGTGTCAGAAAGGTCCAGAAGTTCTGGGACAACTGGATGGACCTGAAAGGTAGCAGGGGAATTGCTTTCTTTAGAGAAGAAGCCAAACCAAAGGAAGAGGCCAAACATTGCCTTGACTGGACAGGAGACATGGACTATGAGCGAATTTGGTGCTAAGATGAAATGGAATTGGAACTACTCAGCAGTCCTGCAAGCTGCTTGATATTCCAAAGAAGTTTAAGTATTAACCACCCAGGAAGGTATAACAATAGATATGGATTGTTATTCAATCCTGTTCTAAGGTTTTGTTTTGCCCCTGTGCATTTGAGAGTTTATTATGTTTAGAATTTCTTTTCTCAGCTCAAAATTTTATGGAAGTGAATGTTGAGAACTAAAAATAAATAAATTAATTATCAAGGAAAAAAATAAAGAATTTATTTTCTCTATAGGAAATAAACATCTGTAATATATTTAATTTTTATTGCATATTATGAATTGTTCTACTCCCCTCTACCTTTTTAGTGAGATTTTAGTCCTGAGTCAAAATTTTAGGTAAGTCATATTGATAGTAGCGACTCTATCAGTGGAAATGTAGGGAAGGACTAACCCAGGGGTGGGGAACATGCAGCCTCAAGGCCACATGTGACCCTCTAGGTACTCAAGTGCAGCCCTCTGACTGAATCTAGACTTGAGGACCTAGAGGGCCACATGTGGCCTCGAGGCTGCAGGTTCCCTACTCCTGAACCCCTCTCATTAGGTCAGATTTTTCCAGGATCGAAATTGTTTCATAGTACTTGCCTAATCCACAGAAGAAGGATACCTCAGAAATTGAGATTGAGGGTGCAGTGACCCAGGCCCTAGAACACAGCAATAATCTTAATTGTTAGATATATGTCAGGTAAATATAATTCAAAAAGATGCCAAGGAACATATTTTTTATACAGACTGTAATTTTTTTTAGCTAAATTTGAGCTCAGAATAATAGATCAAAGTGTAGACTCTATGCCTCATGTGTAGATATTTATTTCATTAAAATATTCAAACTAGTATGGATACAAATAGAAATAATAATTTTAAATTAGAAATTATCAATCAATTATGTGTTAGAATTAAAAGAGATGTAATTTGGATTCCAAATGACTAAAGATAAAAATAATAAAAAACTTACATGCTTTGTGAAATTTGTGTTTGACATCATGGATCGTAGATGTTGGAGACACCTGAAAATTTAGAAAAACAGGGAGAAATAAATTTTTACTAAATGTTCGTGATATTTACTTAGTTTGCACAAGAATCGCTAATATTTTAGTGTCTTCAAAATTGGGACGAAGTCAGTGTTTTATAAGCATTATTTTAGTATGCTAGCAGGGCTTTTAGAAAAGACATAACTAAATGACCACTTTCTTCTAAATCAAGATCATTTAGCATTTCTCTCAATTTCATCATTAGTTAGTATAGAACAGACTGTTTACCAGATTCTGACCACTAGATGTAGTTTTGTATATTTTTTTTACATGTAAAATTCCCATTTTGGCTTATTTTTAGAACGTGTAAGGCAGATTGGAATCAGGGCCAGTATTGCAAATCAAAACTGTTTGTGCAGAAGTATAGAAGTAGTAGTGCCTATGGATGAATGGGATCTGTATTCCCTTAAACTGTTTTGTGACTAGGGGCAAGTCATCCAGATAATTAAAATCTATTTCTATTCTATATGGAGTGCATGATGATTGTTAAGTGGATATGTCCCAAGGAAAACATCTATTACTAATACAATGTTGGCTTTTGGTTCCTTGGAGGAAGGATAATGTAGTGAGCCATTATTATAGAGTCTAGTTATTTTCTTTTTTTTCTACTTTTTTTTTCAATTTTATATTTATATATAAAATAATGAAAGAGAAACAAACTTAAATACTAAAACTAAAATAATACAAAATAAGAAAAGAAAAAGAAATATTGCCATGTGTACAGCAGAATGTGAGAGAGAATTCAAAATATACAGCAATAAATTTCCATTTCAAGAAAATCTATATAATAAATACTATGGGTTATATTGAGAGGCGTCCATCTTTTCTTTGCTTCCTTGTAAGTTTTCTTTTGTTCTCTGCTGTGCACCTTTTATTTTGTTCTTCCCCCCCTTCCTTCCCTGGCCCAAAGGCTAAAATTGAGCATGGATACACACATACACATACACACGTACACATATACATATACATGCATACATATATACATATATAGACATATACACACAAATATATACATGTATACACAAACACACACCTATATATGTATATATACACACACACACTTACACATACATGTACTTAGGTATCAATAATCATAGTCATACACACACACATACACACACACACACACATACACACACATATATATATATATAATGAGGGTGGATAACCTCTTCCTTCATAAGTCCAAGTCTTTCCATATTTTTCCAAGTCAACTAACTCATCATTTCCTGTACCACAACAATTTTCCCACCTTATACTGTCTACTTGTTTTAAATAGTCCAAAACAAGGTTGATAAATATGGTTTACCCATAGTGTAGTTTCCCTGTTTTTCTCTTTTGATTAAATCTAGTTTAGCCTCCACTTTATATGATATCATGATTACCACCCTTGCTCCTTTTTCCATAACAAATTCTACTCCTGATTTTTATTTTGTTTGTGCATATCTCTTATTTCCTATCCCTCCTAAGTCCTCTACTTTACTTCTAACTTGCTAACTTGCCCTCCTATTACTTAACCTACCCTTCCTCCAAAGATCCCTCCCTTATTCTTCCATTCCCATTAATCTAAACACCCTTATATACCCACCTTTAACCTATTCCCTCATGTTCCCCTCTAAAGATGCCTCCCTTATTCTCTCCCCTCTCTCTATCCCCTTCGCATTTTATTTGTTTCTGAATTTAGAAGACTTTTACACTCTTCTAGATATGTATGTATTGTCCCCTCTTGAATTCATTCCCAATGAAAGTAGTTTTCAAGAACTAAAAGCCCTCCTTCCCCATCTAATTCCTCTATGTCAGGTCTTCCTCTCGCACCTCATTTGTATGAGATATTACTTTTTTTAGCTATTCCTAAATGATTTTACTTTTTAAAATCATATCATACTCAGGTCTACCTCAATCTTTCTTATGAGCTATCCAATTACTAATAACAATCTTAGACATACTTTTTTATATTTTACATTCATAAAAGGTAAACAGTGTGTCCTTACTGAGTCCCTTGTGATTAGTCTTTGGTAGGTACCTTATATTTCTCTTGACTTTTTTTGTATGTCAAATCTTCTATTAAGTTCAGATGTTGCTGTTGTTGTTGTTTTTAACAAAATCCTGAAGGTCTGACAATTTATTAAATATCCATTTTTTTTCATTCAGAGTTATGCTTACCTTTACTAGGTTTGATACTTTCTTCTGGAACCCCAGTTCTTCTGCTGTTTGATATACAGTGTCCCAAGAACTGCAATCATTTAGTGTCCCCACTGCTAGGTCTTTTGTGATTCTAATTGTGATACCACCACATTGAAATTATTTTTTTTCTTGTTGCTCATAATATTTTATCCTTGATCTGAGGGTTACAGAATTTGACTATGATATTTTGGTGCATTTTCCTTATAGAATCTCTTTCAGGTGGTGATCGGTGATCTTTTTTTTTTTCTCTATTTCTACTTTCCTTTTTTGTTCTAATGCTTTACAACAATTTTCTTTAATTATTTCTTGTATTATTTCCTCGAGATTATTTTTTTGCTAATAGCTTTCGGGTTGTCCAATCATTCTTCTATTTTCTCTTCTTGATCTGTTTTCAAGATCAAACGTTTTTCTTATGTTTCACATTCTCTTCTTTTTTTTAAGTCTTTATTTTTGTTTTGATCTCTTACAACTTTGCTAGCTTCCTCTTGACCAATTCTGATTTTCAAGGACTCATTTTCTTCCTTTTGATTCTGGATCTCCTTTCCTAATTGATTGACAATTTTTTCAGATATAATCTTCCTGTTTTTTCTTAGATTGTTCTTTTTTAAAAAATATTTTCCTCAATCTCCCTCATCTGATTTTTAAAGACTTTTTTAAAAAAAGTTTTCCTATGAATTCTTTTTGGGCAGGTGACCATTTGACTTTACTCTTTGGGGTAGGAGGTTTCTTTGCTTCAGTATCCTCCTCTGAAAGTGAACCCAGTCTTTTCTATTCCCATAGTAATTCTCTATGGTTGGATTCTTTCTCCTGTGCTTGTTCACTTATTATTATTTTTTTATTTGTAGGAGCTTAGTTTTTTATAATCACCTCTAGCCCTGGGGTATGGGAGATGATGCTTCTGGCCATGGGCCCTCCTTCAGTTCTCCCCTCTGGCCTGAGGAACCAAAACCAAGACCTCCAGTCTCCTGTAAGTGCCCACAATCAGTGATGTCTCTTCTCCATTGCTTTTGCACTCACAGGATGTGTGCTTGTTCCTTCTCACCCCCAACTGTTACTCTGCAGCACAGCTGGGTCTGGAGTTCTTGTCGGCAAAAGTTCCCTCAATCTTCCCTGGCTCAGATGTCCCAGTCCTCTCACTGTCCCAGGGGTAAAAGTTCCTGTGGCTGGGGCTAAGGCAGCCTCTCAACCTAGCTAACCCCAGGGCTTGCCACTTGCTTATTTAAGGGGACCTAGCCTGGAGGGATTTACTCTTCACAGGGATCAAACTTGTCCTAGGATTTTTCTTCACATTTTCTCTGATTATCCCAGAAGGAACACTGCTCTGCCTCTAACTTATTTTTATGCTCTATGTTCATCCTGAGGTGCTATTATTATTTCTGTGTTCACTCTGAAATGCTATCATTATCTCATTTGTGGGAGAAACCTGGAGAGCTTAGAATTTTCTGACCTATTCCACCATCTTCCCAGAATTCTCTTGTCTGGTTATTTTTCAGTAGTTTTTCCTGAACCTTAGACTATGTCATTTGTTTATTTGTTTTCATCAAAGCTCTTTTTCAATAGAAAACAAATAAAGAGGGCAGATTAAATACAGCTTGGAATAGCTTACATGTATTTGGGTTGTAACCTACCTAACTTTTATCAATATCTTTAAAAACAGATCGCATCATAATCCTTTATTTCTATTGAATAAGTAAGATCAATTAAAATGTGTTTCATTTGGCAGCTTTTACCTAGTTTCTCTGGGATACCTTTGTTAGTTGATGAATGGCAATGAGAAGGATTTGAAGTGATGAATTTGGTAAAAACAATATGATATCCCCATTAGGGTATATTTTGGAGAAAAGCAACATTGAAACAATAACTCATAAATCTTTGACCACTCAAAATGCTTTAAAACTGAATGTCATTTTTTTCCTATGAGAACAAAGTTCAGTTGAAACAAGGCAATTCTCATGAAAGTATAATGTGCTTGAATTAACTAATATATTTGTAAATATCAAATCATTGCATTTTATTCTTAATAGCAGTTTGAGTATAGAAAATTTGAAACCATAACAATAGAAGTTCTTTTTAATAAATGTGAATTGTACAATATAGATGATATTTTTTTTCTTTCCAAATTATTTTTATCATGGATTTGGATTGAAATGTTGTGAAATATTAGGAGAGAAGAATGAAATATTGAACTTATATCAAGTTTTCAAAGAGAAAATCTACTAAAAATGAAAAAAAGTGTTCATTCATGTACCCAGGTCTAATAGTTTAAAAATAACCAGTTGATAAAATTGTTCTATTTAAGGGATTTCACTAAAAAGTTTCCTTTCTAGGTCACCAATAAATAACTATCCTTTAGTCCTTGCGAACAGGTTTGATAACCTCAAGGCAAGTTCTAGGTGTCTGGTGTCTAAATCAGAAAGTACCCACCTCCTGCAATTTACAATTTTCAAGATCATCAGAATAGAAATATTGACAATTCCTCAATTGTACTGTACCACACACACACACACACACACACACACACATACACACACAAACGTACACACCCTTTGGGTTCACAGAAGTCATTGCTTAATTAAAGCAGTAGACAACATTAAACTAAGGAAATCTAGGATGTGTCTATCAATTTTCAATCATCTTTGCCTTACTACTACCCTTTGTCCTTCACCCTTACCCCTTACTCCATTTTTAAATTGTTAGAGATGAATGACATTGATTTTTAAAAATTAACTTTGATTAATAAAATCCTTTTATACATTGTTTTAATAGTATTTCTAAATAGTATTCTACACCTC